CCACGTGGTACCATCTTTGTAAGGGTCAGCTCTGAAAACGCCTTCCCTTTTTAAGTGGGAGAACAAGCTCTCAGCCTGGCATTTGAGCCCTTTCATATGAATTCCTTGGCCCCCACACATTCCATGCCACCTAACCCTCCAAGCCAGCCACACACGATCTCCTGGCACTTCCTCAATAGCCTGTACCCTCACCCACTGAGTCTTAGCTGGGGTATCCGCCCTCCCTATCTCCATCCGCTTGACAGCCCCAGGTTATCTATTAAGGGCAGCTCCTTGGGGGAGCTTCCACTGACCACCTCCCCAAGGTCAAGTTGTCCTCGTCTCTGTGACCCCTGAGTTCCCTGACCCTGGGTTCCCTTTGGATATGGTTGGATCTTCCAAGATGACCTATCCATCCCTGGGTCTTTTCCCAAAGCTTGACTGGACACTCCTCAGAGGGTCTGGCAGAGTTCATCCTCTGAACCACGCATTTGGAGACACTGACAGGTGCTTGCTGGAGCTTTGGCGCTCGGAGGACTGTGAGTTACGATTGTGGTCCTCTAAGCACAAACTCCCGGGGTTCTGAGAATCTTAGCCAAGGCTTTTTGGAGCCACAAGAAACAGAACTTCGGACACCTCACCTGCTTTGGCAAGTGAACTAAAGGAACAGCATGGGACTCCGGCACTCCTGGGATTAGACTCCGAGAGGCACTGACCTGGGAATATTCCAAACGTGCTCAGAGGAGACGGTCTGTCCCACAGCCTCCTGTGTATCCTGTGATGAGAACCTGGGTTCTCTCATCTCTTATGCTTCCTGCCCCTCCCCAATGATCACAGCTTGGACCATGACCTCTCTCTCTCTGCTGGGGACCCAGATGATGAGAAGTGTTGTAGGACCCTAGAATTCAGCCTTTTCCTGCCATGACGGGAAGCTAGCGCCTGCAAGTCAGGACTGTGCACATCTTGCTCCCCGTGAGCCCCCACCCGCGTGGCTCCCTGGTCTTACTCATTCTTCATGAGCTGCACCATGGATCTGTGACTCTTCCAGTCTGACCCGTGGAGAGCTCACCATCAGGAACTGGACCTGATCAAACCCAGATGCACAGCATCCCAGGCTCCAAGCTGGAGCCTGAACCCAGGGTTCTTGCTTCTTGGGTCTCGCTGGAGGCACTCGGGTGTGCTTGGTGGGGATGGAGTCCTGGACCTTGTGGTTCTGAGCCCATTAGTCCATCTCTGGAGCCCTGTACTGTACTCCGCTGAGCTGGGCCAGGTAGAATCAATAATTTGGAGTCCTGCCCTGGCTAGGTAGGCCCCTTCTCCTTAGAGTCTCAGCTTTGTGCTCTGTGGAGCCCTCAGTGCTCCTCTGCCTCAGTGAGTGCTCCCACAGCTGAGATCTCGGGAGCTTTAGGGAAAGTGCCGCAGAGCACAGGGGCAGGCCAGAATGGAGATACCATCAGGTGTCACCCTTGAGCTGGGGCCCCAGGCTAGGCCTGGTGCTCAGTGCTCTTGGTGTAACACACCAGGCACAGCTGAGAGACCTGCTATCCTCTGACCCCTTGGAGGACATTTGGGAGGGGACAGGCAGTGACTTGTAGGCTCCTAATCCTGCGCTGCCTGGATTGCCCTGTCCGCTCAAACCACGGGGTGCTCAGCAGTTCAGGTCACCTTGCCCAGATCTGCGCTCTCCCTTCTTCCCACCCACCTGATGCCTACTCATCTTTCTAACCACAAGTCAGGTGCCCTCTTCTCCAGGAAACCTTCCCCAGCGGGGGCCTCCCCACCACACTGCCTCCTTTCCCAGCAGGGCCTCCTCGGCTTCCTTCAGCCCCGATCACCCTGAGTTGTCAGTGTCTGCTTCTGGGTGTGCCTCCCTGACCTTGACAGTGAACGTCTTGAGATTCGGGGAGAATGTAATCTCAGAGTCACCGGGGACAAATCTGGGAGGGCTCTGGACCTCCCTCCTCCTGAAGGATGGGTCTGGGAGTGTGAGGTGCTGATCTTGTGTTAGCCTGGCTGTACCCTGCCACTGTAGCCTCGCCCATAACTCCTGCAGGACTATTTGCCCCTCTCATCTTTTGGGGGCACCCCATCCCTCCTGTCTCTACCCTACATGGCAGCCTCCTCTCTGATTATTGTGTAATGTGTGTGTGTGAAGATTTTGCTCACAACCAAGTTCTGTTCTGTTAAGAGGAGATTGACATGCAGGCTGTGAGATTGACAGCCCTGTCCATCCAACAGCCGGGAAGGACAGAACAGATTCCCCACCCACCCTGTGCTCTCTCCTCCGTCTTGATGCTGTTCTAAGCCCAGGTCCTCAGTTCCCCTCTCAAAATCTCTTCCTGCAGAGGCAGGTAGGTAGCGGGGGTCTCTGGGGTGTGATAATACTCTTTCCTGCCAAGCTGGACAGGGTCCACCAGCCTAGCAGGTGGCACATTCCAGAGCCACCCTGGTAGAGGAGCTGGAATGTCGTCCAACCACCCAAGAAAGTCCGCTGCCAGCTTAGAAACAGCTCTGCTTCCTCCTCTTGGCTTTAGACTTACTAGCCTGGGACTAGTGAGAAGGAACGAGGCTGGAGTCAGCAGACCTCCTCTGCTGGAGGGCTTGGGGGTGGGGGTGGGGGGTCAAAGATGAATGGCCAGGGAGCTCCCTGGGGATGGCATCTGGGCTTGGCAAGGCAGGGTAGGAGGTAGTGGGCAGGGGCACAGCAGAGCTCTGTGCTATTTGCTAGTTTTGTGGCCCTGAGGAGGTTATTTTAGCCTGTTGGAACCTCCAGATTAAAAATGAAGCGGCTTATGAAGCCACCTAACATTTAAAAAAAAATGGGTACAGAAAATGCTCACTTCTCACCACCAGGCTGATGGTAGATGATAAGGGAAGTTGTCACTGAGGGAGATGGCACCATGAGACTGCTTCAGTCGTACTGAGACAGGAGGATGAGGGAGAAGGTGAAGACGACAGGGACCAGTTCTTCTAGGACCTTGAGGGCAAGGCTGAGGACCTTGGCTATTACCTGACAGTACCAGGGAGGGTTTGAACTCAAGGGCATGTGTTCAAAGGTAGACATTAAGAAGACATGTGGCTGGAGAGCTAAGGCTGGACTGGGCAGAGGGAGGCAAGGACAGAAGCAAAGAGGATGGTGAGCGGTTCAGAGGGAAAGCTTAGTCCTAGGTCTCTACTTTGGTGCAAAGAATGTACAAGCATGTCTAAGGAACTCCACTGGTTGGACTGGTAGGACTTGGTGAGTGGTGGGCATCAGATGGGGTGGAGTACTGAGAGACGGGAACCTAGGGGGATGGTAGAGGCCCTTAGAGAAAGTGGTGTGCTCTGCCTTAGCTGGTTGGTCAGGCACCTCCTGAGGATAGACCTCAGGAGCGCACCTGGGTGGGGCAGGGTGAAAAGGGGAGCTCTTTCATCTTGCCACCAGACTCTTGAGCAGACAGCCAGATAGCAACCCACACTGTGGCCGGTGTCAGCCTAAGAGGCCAGGGCCAGGTGCACCCTCTCTTGGTCCTACATCCTGCAGCCACCCGTCTCCTCCTGCTCCCCATCTTTACACTGCACCTCCAGCCTGAGGGCTCCACTCCCCTACGGCTGAGAAGGTAAACAGATGGGAAAAGATATTCAGAGGCTGGAAGCATAGCTCAGTGGTAGAGCACTAGCCTAGCAGACTTCAGTTCCTGGGTTCAAATCCCAGGACCAAAGAAAAGGGGTGTGTGTGTGGCTCAGTTGGCAGAGTACTTGCGCAGCATGCTAGAAGCCCTGGGTTATCTAGCCCCAGCACCACATAAACAAGGCATGGTGGTACACATCTATAATCCCAGCACTTAGGAGGTAAGGGCAGAAGAATCAGAAAGCCAATTACTCAGCTGTACAGTGAGTTTGAGCTCAGCCTGAGATGTATAACACTCTTTCTCAAAAGAAAAAAAAATTTTCAGGAGGCTCCTCGTGGGTGCTGGAGGCTCCTGGTGGGTGCTGGGACCTGTCCATACAGAGGGGTCCTTCCCTGAGGCAGCTATCCTCTGTCTAGCAAATTCCCTGTGTCTGCTGTACATGAGGGGCGTCCAGCTCAGCTCTGTCCTGGAGTTCCCTCCTCTGTCAAATGGGAATTCAGCTGAGGTAGCTTCCAGAGGCTGTAGCCGGCCCCATCTAGACCATGTCAATATGTCTCCTGCATGTGCACATGAATGTGAAAGTGTGTGCTTGGGATGTCTGTGTGCATTTGGACCTGTGTGTGCTCAAGTGGTGTGTGTGTGTGTGTGTGTGTGTGTGTGTGTGTGTGTGTGTGTGTGTGTGTGTTTATAACAGCTGTGGAGGAATGTCCAGATGTGCAGGGAAGAGGAGGGGACTCTAGTTAGACACCTGTCCTGGCAGAGGTATGCTGGCCCTGCTCTGCACTATGTGCCCGGCCAGGAGGGTATTGACTGTTTCCTGCTGTGGGGCTGGAGTGCAGAATCAGGGCCAGGGAAGGGACACTGGAGACTTGGTTCAGCTCTGAAGCTACTAGGGGAGATCTTTCACAAAGTCTCCTTCCTGTGACAGGGGGCGCCTGGGAAGGAGGCTCTGAACAGCCCACTCCTGGAACATATGAGCCAGCAGGAGATAGCAGGGTGTGTGGGCGTGCAGAGGGCACTGTGACCAGGGCAAGCACACCGGGTCTCCTCTTGGCTTCTTTGGGGCCACAGTCCACAGTTAAAGCCGAGGAGGCAATTTGCGGGAGAGAGCGAGCAAGCATGGCCTGGCTGGCAGATTCTGAGTCCACATTTGCGTCTTCATCTCTGGGTGTCTGTCTGCAGGAGCCCTCCAGGCAGCTGCTTGCCCTGAAAAATGCTGAAGGCTGGGCGCGGCCCCAGGCCTGGGAACCTGTTCTTCCTGTTTCCTGCCTCAGTCCCAGCAGCTGGTCCAGGCCTGAGCGTTTATGAGTGAAGAACCGGAGCAGACACTGAGCATCCTTGCCACACCAAGAGCAGGAGCTCATCAGGTCCGGGTGTGTGAGGTGGGTCACTGGCTGGGAGGCTGGGCATTTTGTATGTGTTTGCACTGACTTCTGCTTACATCAGTGAGGACCGAGGCAGGGACCCTGCTCTGCTCCTCTATCCCAGGCTCTGTTGAATTCAGGCTCTGCAGCCAGACAGCCCTCAGTGTCAAGCCTAGTTTTTCCAATCCCTTCCAGTAAAACCAAAACAAATAGCTTAACCTCTGGGTAGGTATTTACCAGGGACTGAACGCTGCCCTGTGGGAGCTTCTTAAACCTAATCAGATCCCTACTGAACAGGAAGGGTGGCAGAGGGGATTGCAGAATGTGGCACTGTTCAGACTGAGCCAGAGAGGGCCGGGGAAAGCATGGGGTTGCCTTGGCCTGCTGACCAACCCCAGACTGTTTCCCTGGCTGCAGCATAGAAGGGTAGGGTGGGGTCTTCTGGGTCCTGTCAGTATTGAACAAAAGAGGTAACCTAAGGATCCCTCTGCAGGAGAAGGACTTAGGTGGGCTGAGCACCATGATGTGTGTGCTCAGCTCCTCTGGGTTCCCACAGCCTCTGATGCATCATTTACTCTTCGTTCGTTCGTTCGTTCGTTCGTTCGTTCGTTCGTTCATTCATTCATTCATTCATTCATTCATTCATTCATCCTTTCTTTCTTCCAACAACTGCTTGCAGGTTGGGCCTCTCGCTGGGCTGTAGGTACAGAGAAAATTATCATGTGGATCCAGCCTTCCTAGAAATGTGTTGGAGTGGGGGCTGAAAGACAAATCACCATACGGCTGGAGAAATGGCCTGAGGGACTGGTGGACTGAGAAAGTTTCAGTGATAAGGGACATTGAGAAAGAGCCTGGAGAAATGAGTGGGATGAGGCTTTACAGGATCGTTCTGGAAAGGATTTTGAGACAGTCAGTACAGTGTGAACGAAGGTGAGGAGGCCTGGAAGGGCTCTCTAGGGCTCACTTCTCCATTAAACTGGGCGTTCTTGGGACACTGCCAGCCAGAACTGGGCATAGCAGAGCCAGCCAGTGTGAGGGGGCCAGTGACCAAGTCAGGCAGAGCAGTCTCCATGGAGCTGAGGTGAGGTCTCAACGGAGGAGAGATCAGGAACTGGTGCTAAGGGACCAGCAAATGGGCTTCACAGGTTAGTGAGTTGAGCCCAGAGGAGAGGACAGGCAAGGTCAGTCTGGACCAGGGCCATTGTGATAGGGTTCTCAGCTGGCCTGGAGGGCAGAGGCCAGGATGTCTTAAAACAGGTGGAAAGGGAAGCTTCTTGGTTCTGGGAACAAGGAAGTTTCCACCCTGCCTCTAAGTGTCAGAGATTCCACCAGCTGGGAACAGCAGGAAATTAGTGATGCTGGCTAGAGAGAAGGCAAGGAGAGGCCTGATGCTGTCTTGTTGTGGAGACCAGTGGTGGGCAGGGGTAGCACAGCCCTGCAGAGGTGACCGCGGTGACAGGTTAGAAGCCACTCTGTCTTCTCCTGAGGGGAGGTTGGGAACTACCATTCTCCAAGGTGGGGGATTTGACACCTGAGAGGGAGGGGGCTTCTCACCTGGGACTCTCATGTAGAGTCTGCTGTGGTCCTTCAGTGCAGGGCGCCCGCTCCCTGCCTGCAGCTGAGAGTGATGTGGTTATTGTGATTTGTTCTGCTTTGCTTTAAACAGAGAGAATGTAGATTATGGAAAAATGAAAAAAGAATTCCCTAAAGTGCCTCCAAGGGAGGAATACCACGGTTTAAGAACATTTTGTTGCTGTTAAAATTACTATTTCTGGGCTGGGCGGTGGTGGCGCACGCCTTTAATCCCAGCACTCGGGAGGCAGAGGCAGGCAGATCTCTGTGAGTTCGAGGCCAGCCTGGGCTACAGAGCAAGATCCAGGACAGGCACCAAAACTACACAGAGAAACCCTGTCTCGAAAAACAACAAAAACAAAACAAAAAACTACTATTTCTTGGAGCTGGAGAGATAGCTTAACGGTTTTCTTGCAGAGGACCCAGGTTTGATCCCCCCTTGGCGGTTCACAATCACTTGTAACTCCAGTTCCAGGGAACCGGATGCCTCATTCAGGCTGCAGGACCATACGCGTATATTCCAAACTCACGCACATAAGTTGCTAAATTAATATTTCTTGGCTGGAGAAAGCCTCAGTGGTTAAGAAGTGCTACTCTTGCAGAGGACCCTTCACCCACTTGGGGGCTCACAACCATCCCTAACTCCAGTTCCACGGATTCTGACCCACCTTCTCATCTCTATAGGCATTAGGCACACACATGTTGCATGTACATACAACAAACAAAACAGGCAAAACATTCATATACATTAAATAAATAAATAAATAAAAAGGTTCTTTACTTATTTTGAACCTGTTCAATAAGTTAAGATTTAGCCACACAATCTTGTTCTCTGTAGCCATACAACGTTATTATTTCAGGAAAATGAAGGGGAAGGAAGCAAATTACCTACTACTTACCTCAGAGTTAGGCCAAGTCTTGCCTTAGGCCCCTTGGGGCAAAACTTTTCTACTCTTGCCCAGGCAGAGTTGTTATTTTCTCTTTCATCCACCTACTTTGTATTTGTGATGTCACTTGTTTATTTTTATTTTGTGTGTCTGTGAATGTCTGCCGTGCGCATGTACACAGCACACTTGTGAAGGTCGGAGAACCCCTAGGGGTCCTCTGATTGACCTTGGATTGACCTCAGTCTTGGCAGCAAGTGCCTATTCCCCTCAGAGTCATCTCACCAGCTCCCCCAACTGTTTGTTTTGAGACAGTGTCCTTCTGTGTAGCCCAGGCTGGCTTCAAACCCCTGCTCCTCTCCTGCCTCAGCCTCCCAAGTGCTGGGATGGCAGATGTGGGTCTCCTCACGCTAATCTGAATTCGGAGAGGAGGAAAGGTGGCCGCCAGCCCTCCAGGCGTTCATTGTCCACTGGCTGCTTAGGTCCTGTGAATAATGGGGAGAAAGTAGAAGACCCAAAGAGGGTGAGAAGGCAAGCTTCGCAAAAGGTACCAGGGGAGGCCTGAAGAGCTGTTTGTTCCACCAAGGAAACCTCATGCCTTCCCCTTCCAGAAGCAACCCCAGACTGCCTTGGACTCTTCAGAAAGGTCACTGCTCCATCTGGTTGTCCCCTCACGGTGGAGAACAGGATTGCTGTACACAGATTTAGAGAGTGCCAGAACATAGTAGTAATACCTTAAAAAAAAAAAAAAAAAAGTTGAGGCCGGGTGGTGGTGGTGCATGCCTTTAATTCCAGTACTGGGGTTGGGGGAGGCAGGGTAAGCAGAGGCAAATGGATATCTCTGAGTTCTAAGTCACCCTAACTCTAACTCTAACCAGGACAGTCAGGTTTACACGGAGAAACTCTGTCTTGAAAATCTGGGGGGGGGGGGGGAAATAAGTTGAACAAGGGGTTGGAGAGAAGTCTCAGTGGTTAGGAGCACTTGGTGCTCTTGCAGAGGACTGGGGTTCTGTTCCCAGCACCCACAAAGCACCTCCATAGCTTCAGTTAGAGTGACTCTTCTGACCTCTGCAAGCACCAGGAACACACTTGGTGCACAGATATACACACAGGCGAAACACTCAGACACACACACACACACACACACACACACACACACACACACACACACAATCTAAAAAGAAAGTTAAACAAGAAACTGGATAATGGAAGAGGGAGACCCTTGCAAATTTTCCAGCTCCCAGAGAATAGAGGATGAGTGTAAAAGCTAGGAGTCTGTGAGGACTCCAGGCATGCTGGATGCCCGGGCCACAGAAGCCTCAGTGGGCAGTGGCACTGGGATACAGAAGAGGGCCAGTCTTGAGGCTACTTCCTACAATCTTATACCCCTTTGTATAGCGGACTTTGTTTGGACAGCCAACTCCTGAATAATGACACAGAGTCTTTTTATTAATTATGAAAGCTTGGTCTTAGCTTAGGCTTGTTTCCCAGCGAGCTCTTAAAACTTAAAATTAGCCGGGCGGTGGTGGCGCACACCTTTAATCCCAGCACTTAGGAGGCAGAGCCAGGTGTATCTCTGTGAGTTTGAGGCCAGCCTGGGCTACAGAGCAAGATCCAGGACAGGAACCAAAACTACACAGAGACACCTTGTCTCGAAAAGCCAAAAAAAAAAAAAAAAAAAAAAGAAGAAGAAGAAAAGAAAAAAGAAAAAGAAAACTTAAATTAACCCATTCCCATTTATATTAATCTACATTCTGCCACATGGTTCATTACCATACCATATATCCAACTTCCTCCTTGTCTTGTGGGCGAATCCCCTGCCTCTCAGATTCTTCCCTAAGTTCTCTCTCTGGGGAAGTCCTACCAATCCTCTCCTGCCTAGCTGTTGACCAGTCAGCTTTTTATTAAACCAATCAAAAGGTGCCTTAGGCAGGTGAGGTAAAACAGAGATGTCTTTACACCGTGTGATCAAATATCACAACTCCTCAACTCCTCTGGAACCTCCAGGTCTCAGTTCCAAGGCTCTGAGTCCTCCATCTTGAACTCTGTGGTCCAGGGGTTTAGAGCAGGGGTCGGCAGGTTCTAGAGTAAATATTTGAGACTCTAAAGTCCACATGACCTTGATGACACCCACTCAACTCGACGATGGGCGTGGCTGTACTCCGATACTGCTTCATTTACAAAACAGCTGACCGGCGGGAGTCAGCCCTCAGACTATCTTTGCTTGTCCTGCTGTGAGGTTAGAATCATGTGATGTTGGTTTTCATTGATCTAACGAGTTTCTGAGGCTTTAGGAGACTCTGGGTCCAGGAGAGGTGCAGATCACATGACAATAAAAGTTTTGACTTGGGTAAGCAAGTGGGTTTTTGTTTTTTGTCTTTGTTTTTTGTTTTGTAGATGATCTGTTGTTGTTTTGTTTGTTGGTTTTGAGACAGTTATGTACTATGTAGCCCAGGCTGACCCCTCACTGACTACGCAGCCCAAGGAGGTCTTGAAGTCACAATTCCGCCCCTGCCTCCCAAGTGTTAGGATTATAGGAGTGTGCCACCACATCTGGCTTAGGCAAGTCTTTAGTCTGTGTGTTACTGGGGTACGAACCCAGGGCCTCCTGCATGCTAAGCAAGTGTTCTGTCACCAGGCTATACCTCCTGTCCTAGGCGAATCCTAACGAGGGGACCGCCCCTCTGAGCATCAGTCCTGATGGCTTCCTCTCACACCTCCCTTTCCCCCCCCCCCCCCCCCCCCCCCCCCCCCGCAGGGCCATGGCAGCAGACCTGGACCCCTGGAACAGCACCATCAATGGCACCTGGGAGGGGGATGAACTGGGCTACAAGTGCCGCTTCAACGAGGACTTCAAGTACGTGCTGCTGCCCGTGTCCTACGGCGTGGTGTGCGTGCTCGGACTGTGCCTGAACGTCGTGGCTCTCTACATCTTCCTGTGCCGCCTCAAGACCTGGAACGCGTCCACCACGTACATGTTTCACCTGGCCGTTTCGGACTCTCTCTACGCAGCCTCTCTGCCGCTGCTGGTGTACTACTATGCCCAGGGTGACCACTGGCCATTCAGCACGATGCTCTGCAAGCTGGTGCGTTTCCTCTTCTACACCAACCTCTACTGCAGCATCCTCTTCCTCACCTGCATCAGTGTGCACCGGTGCCTGGGTGTCCTGCGCCCTCTGCACTCGCTGCGCTGGGGCCGGGCCCGCTATGCCCGCCGTGTGGCTGCGGTGGTGTGGGTTCTGGTGCTGGCCTGCCAGGCACCTGTGCTCTACTTTGTCACCACCAGTGTCCGGGGGACCCGCATCACCTGCCACGACACCTCGGCCCGAGAGCTCTTCAGCCATTTTGTGGCCTACAGCTCCGTCATGCTGAGTCTGCTGTTTGCTGTGCCCTTTTCTGTCATCCTGGTCTGTTACGTGCTCATGGCCCGAAGGCTGCTCAAACCGGCTTATGGGACCACGGGAGGCCTGCCTCGGGCCAAGCGCAAGTCTGTGCGCACCATTGCCCTGGTGCTGGCCGTCTTTGCCCTCTGCTTCCTGCCTTTCCACGTCACCCGCACCCTCTACTACTCCTTCCGGTCCCTGGACCTCAGTTGCCACACCCTCAATGCCATCAACATGGCGTACAAGATCACCCGGCCCTTGGCCAGCGCCAACAGTTGCCTTGACCCTGTGCTCTACTTCCTGGCAGGGCAGAGACTTGTCCGTTTTGCCCGTGATGCCAAACCACCCACAGAGCCCACCCCCAACCCCCAGGCTCGTCGCAGGCTGGGCCTTCACAGGTCTCACAGAACTGACACCGTGAGGAAAGATGTGTCGATCAGCAGTGATGACTCAAGACGGACAGAGTCCACACCAGCTGGGAACGAGACTAAGGACATTCGACTATAGGTCAGAGCCCCTCAGGCATGTGCTCGTTCATGTGGGGAAGCTGTAGGGGACCAAGGCTTGTTCAAATGGGCTGGTGTCCTCCCACGGATCATCAGCAATTCTCATTTGGCAGGGGCTGGGCATACTCATCCTGTGGTCCCAAGAGCAACAGGACCCCAAAGTCCCCAGTCATTTGTATGTGTGAGTTGGGAAATCGTATTTTAAGAAAGGCAGTGACACCTGACTCCCATACAGACAGCTGCCATTCCTGCCAAGGTTGGGGTTCAGGCAGGCTGAGGTTCAGCCTCCTAAATCCAAGAGAGAAGCAAGTCCAGAGAAGACACAGCGGAGTCTGGGCTAGCTACCTGGGCTAGGAGTGAGATCACAAGTGACTAGAGGACTCTTGTGGGTAAGCAGGGCTGAGTTCCCATGGTCCCCTGGGATGGACCTGGGCTCTACAGTGGACTTGGCTGGGAGAAGACCCTCAGGCCAAGAGACAAGCACCTGAGAACTGGTTTCAGATCCATCCGGAGGCTTCCCCGGGCTGGGAGCCGGGTGGAAACCGTAACTTATACGTAACGTCACTTATACTGCCCTTTGGGCTGTGCTTCGCCGCATGGTCGGAGGACAGGGCATGGCCTGGGAAGCATCCGTCACCTACACAAATGTCTGTGATCCCCGCCGTTTGCCTTCCAGCTACTGCCTCCCAGGAGCCTCCAGGGACCCCTCTTCAGATCCCCAGGGCAACCCTGCTTTTAAGCCACTTGTCTCTGTATTGTACTGTGCCAAGCATGGAGAAGAGTCAAGTAGGGTTCTAGTTCTTGGGATGTAAGTAAATGTCAACTATGTAACTGAACCGGGAGGGGCCTTTATTTATGGGGGGGCAAAAGTAACATTTCAAATGACCAACACAGTGGCAGTCTCTCTGCAAAATTCCTGAAAGTCAACAACTGGTTCTTTCTTGTGGGAAGTGGGAGCGGAGGGGGTGTGGGCGTTGTTGGTTAAAAGGGAACCAAAGGTGGCCTCCAATTTGCCATGTAGTTGAAGCTGACCTCTAACTCTTTACCTTCTTGTTTCCATCTCCAAAGTGCCGGGATTACAGGCAGGTGCCACACCTGTCCAACGACTGGTTCTTAAAAGCAGGTGCAGGGTACTTGAGCACAGCCCATGCTGTGTAGCTAGGACTGTGTGACCCCTAGTCAGGGAGGGTCCCCTAGAATGCAAGAAAGTGGATGGGGCCAGATCTGGGGTTTAGGCAGGAATAGACACAGGTGACAGACTTCATTCCACCTCAAGGATAGGAGGTTCCTGTGAGGACGGTCTCCCCATCCACCTCGTCCGCCATCCACCTCATCCGCCTCCTACATCTCCACTGTCCCCTCTCTGCCATTAGAGGCGAGGCATCCCCAGTTGCTCTCTGTGCATGTTGTTGTATTAAGATGTTGCTCAGGATGACCTGGAATTCCTGAGCTCAAGGGATTCACCGCAGCCCCCTATGTGGCTGGTTTATAAGCAGTCTTTTTATACAGCTTACCTCCAGAGCGCCCTCAAGTGACCTCAAGAGCCCTCACAGAGCAGGACCCACATAATCATTCTGCGTTGCGTAGTTCAGCCTCAGTCTGCCCGGAATAGCGCAAGATGCCCACCTCCCACATTCTGTGTTCATACTACAGTTAATGTGCCTGGAGTCCCTCTGCGCCTCAGTGACTCCACTTATGGGCTGTCCCGGTCTTCCTTGCAGGCCTGAACCTGTCTCTTTCTAACACTGCTCAGGCAGAGCCACCTCCCAGGTTACAGGCAGACCCTTCCTCCAGAGAAGCTGAGTGCTGTGCTGAGACTTGAGACACAGACGCACACCATGATGTGGAGGCCTTGACTGTTGACCTGTGGTTGGGGTTAGGGCTGTTTTCATTATGGACCAGAGTCCCCCTAGATTCCCCCTCACCTGCAGCTGCTCTAGAGACCAGAGACCGCAGCACCTGTGTGGATAGAGACCACACTGTCTTACCCCCAGGGGTTTTCTTTGGACCACTGCATGCAGATTTCAGAGGACACAGGCCTAGTTCTGTGGTAGCCACTGTCTTTCCTCAGGGAACCAGGGCTAGGCCTGTGGTCCCACATCCAGGAGCCAATCAGACTGCCTGCCCCCTTGGGGTGGACATCCAGCCTTGCTGCCCAGCGTCCAGGCCACTTGCCCGGCGGGTAAGATTCCTGATCCTTCTGCCTGGTGCTATTTTCAGCTCGAGTAAGACCAAGATTTTCCATCAGCCCCAGACCATTGTCCAGCAATGACGTGAGGTGACCTGCCTATCCTTAAAATATCTCTTCTTGCCCTCTGGGCCTTCCCTGCCCACTCCCCACCCTGAGAACGTGTCATAGGGCTGCTGGCTCCTGAAGGCCACTGTGAAAGGACACAGGAGCCACCCAGGCACTAGACAAGAGCCCAAGAGTTGTCCAGGCCAGCTGCAGACTCAAGGCCAGAGGGGAGAGGGGCCATGTCCAAGGTCAGTGTGGTTCCTGGGCATCAGCCAGGGGCTTGGGTTGTTCCTGTTGCTTATGCCACAACCCTCCAGGACAGGTCAGTGATCTCATGAATGTCCTGTGCCCCCTGCGCTGCCCAGAGCTGGAGAATTGTGACCAGGGAGTTAACACAGGGGAACCAGAAGGGGGCGGGCTGGACAAAAAGGGTAAATGCATACTGGTCTCTATAGCTGCTGCTCTCAGTGAATAAATACCACGTGACCGGGCATGGCCCTTCAGACCCAAGAGTCTCTTCCCTGGGTAGTCCTGGATGGAGGGGAGGATCTCTAGAGGACACTGATGTCCTTGTCCTCCAAGATCAAAAGATCCTGGACAACATGTCCATCATGCCTGGTCGCTCCAGTCTGGGCACTCTGCCAGCCCTAGGCTTCAGTCATCATGGCAGACTTGGGCTGGTCTGTTTAGAATGGGTCATAGGGTCTGGAGCTCATGTTCGGGCCTATGTCTCAGGCACCAGACGGGACTTACACGCGGCTTACTTATCCTTTGCAACCAGTCTGTGGGATAGATATTATCAATGATGCTGACTAGCAGAGAGATCAGGAGCCCGCAGTTGGAGGGGGGCTTGGTCCAGGCAAGCTTCAGGTAACAATGCCAAGGGTGACTGAGTCAAGAAAAAGTTCAAATCCCCAGAGGTCCCAGGGATCCTCTAGTATCCCGCAGCCACAGGGCAGGAGGGTCTATCAGTATTCTGTCCCCTGATTCAGACCCAGACAGTGCAGTGGGAAGCAGGGCAGCACACAGACTTGGTTTGAAGGTCAGCTTCTACCCACCCACAGAGTAGGCTTGGCTGTACATCCCCTGACTGCTTCTGCCCACCATGGTAGTCTACGGCCACTCTCTGTTCAGTCATGTGCTCTGAGATCTAGAATGGAAGAACTGACCTAGAGATGGGTCACAGAAGTCAACAAATGGCAGCTTTTCCTTGTGACCTGAGGCTTCCCACTTGCCCTCTCTGGGCAAATATGGAGGTGTTGCTTCTGGGTTTTGGTTCTTTTGTTAAGGTATCAGAGCCTGGACCTTCCAGGCACAACTGTTGTTCTCTAAGGATTGCCAAGCCCACCAAAAGGGGAAGGGACTCCACTGTACCACACAGTGCCACACAGCGGACTGCTCTTGTGGGTGAGGAGGGCAGTTTCGCCAGGCTGACCTGGGGGCAGAGGAAGGAGATGGGAGCCCGAGGGTCTTGACTGTCTCCCTCTGCCTGTGTGGGCAAGACCTGGGCGAGATGCTTTGGCTCTCTAGGTCTCAGTTTCCCAATACTTGACAACTGGCTTTGTCTAGCCTGTCTTTGTTCAGAAGGGGCTTTCTGAGTTTGCCCTGGTTTCTGCACCAGCTCAGCTGGGTGTCCTGTTTCAGCTCTGTCCCAGCCAGGAACAATGAGCCAGTCACTTGTAGGACCAAACCCTGTCCCCAGGGTCTCCGCCCACTGTGTTGGACTATTGTCAGCAATGGAGTATAAAAAGGACTTTCCACTCACCACACAATGATTCCCCCCAGACCATTGTCCAGCAGTGACGTGGGGGATCTGCCTGTCTCAAAATATCCCCAGTACCCATCCTTGGGGCCTCCCTACCCTGCTCCTCACCTCCCCGCTGACATAATTTCCTGGGGCTGTGGACACCTGATGGCTACAAACAGCTTTCCTTGTTTGGCTGTTTCAGAGAACTGCAGGCCCAGAGAGGGCTGTGCCCTGTCCAAGCTCACACAGCAGCCAGAGCAGAGCCTACACGTGTCCCAAGTCACACAGAAGTCAGGGTGAAGCCTAGACCTGAGCCCATAGTTCTCTGGCTGTTCTTCTTCCTCAGCCACCTTCATTAGCTCTAGCTTGCCTTCAGAGGCCCGGGGGAGGGGGGCTCCTAGAAGTCTAGCTGTGTGTCGGGGGTGGGGGTGGGTGGGATTAACTTGGCCGAATCTCTGGTTCTCATATGAGCAAAGAGCTGAGAGCAAAGGCCTGAATTTCCAGTATCATTTTTATCTCAGGGACTGAATGTGTCCTCCCCAAATTCATGTGCTAAAATTCTAATTGCCAGCCAGATGTGATGGCACATGCCAGTGTAATCCCACCACTGGAGAGGGGAGGCAAGAGGATCAGGGGTTCAAGGCCTACCTTGGAAACTATGAGAGTTCACTGAAGACCAGCTACATAAAACTCTGTCTCAAACAAACACTGAAGAAATTTTAATTATCAAATTTGGAGAGGTGAGCCTTGGCGGGTGAGGTAACTAGGCTGTGAGGATGGAGACTTCAAGAATGGAATTAATGCCTTTATCTGCCAGGTTTCTGTTATTGTAACAAAATACCAAAAGTAATAAACTTATAAAGAAAAAAGGTTTGGGGTGGGGGGTTGGTTTTGTTTTATTTTGGTTTTTTTTTGTTTTTTTTTTTTTTTTTTTTTTTTTTTTGAGACTGCATCTCATATAGCTCAGGCTATGTGATATTCCTGTCTCAACTTGCTGAGTGTTGGGATTACAGGCATACATCAAGTCTTTCCCTCAGTGGGAAAGGTTTATTTTGACTCATAGTAAAGAGTTTCCATTCCACAACTGGTTTATCCTGTGGCATCAAGCAAGCCGAGAAGCCTAAGTTTGATCACTGGGCCCACGTGGTGGAGAGAGCCCACTTCAGACCTCCACACGCGCACCACGGTACACATGGTACCACAACACACACAACGCATGTTTAACAAAAGAGTTGTGAAAAGAGAGCCCAGATAGCCATGCTACACAGGTTTCTCTAAACCCTGTCTTGGGGGGCGGGGAAGGGGGCAGGGAATCCCAGAAAGTCCTCTCATCTCTTCCTGCCCTGTGAGGGTGCCACAGGAAGTTGGTGTGCTGTAACTGGGAACAACCCAGTCATGTGACCTCAAGTCTCCAGATCGATGAGAAATCACTGTCCTCAGGATTTAAGCAGCTTCAGAAAAGACCACAGCTGGGCCTGGGGAGCCGCTCCGCGGTTAAAAACACTTGTTTCTCTGGCAGAGTCGGACACTGACTTAGTTTCTAGCACTCACTCATGTGGTGGCTCACAGTCCTCTCCAACTCCAGTTCCAAGGGATCTGATCCCCTCTTCTGGCCTCCGTGGACACCAAGCACACACTTGCTGCACATACATACATGCAGGCAAAGCATTCATTACCATATACATAAAATAAATCTTAAGGAAAAAAAAAGGACAGTAGCAGCCTGGCGGTGGTGGCGCATGCCTTTAATCCCAGCACTCAGGAGGCAGAGGCAGGCGGATCTCTGTGAGTTCGAGGCCAGCCCGGGCTACCAAGTGAGTCCCAGGAAAGGCGCAAAGCTACACAGAGAAACCCTGTCTCGAAAAATCAAAAAAAAAAAAAAATAAAAATAAAATAATAATAATAAAAAAAGGACAGTAGCTTAGTCTGTGGTGAGTTCAGAGT